TAAATTGTGTATCTCTCTTTGCCATTTTTATAAGGGAACTTCTTAGACCCATCCTATATTTATATAAACACGAAAACAAACTTTAAATTTCCCAGTTATATACTTGCTAATTATCCATTTCACTCTCCAGGTGGGTGAACCTTGCTTTACATAACAAATGGATTCCTGAAAAGTAGTACATCTATAATTTTAAAAAAGGAAGATTTTCAATACAGTATCAGAACTTGCCACTTAACGGATCCATGTAACAAGCTATTTTGAAAATGAAGAATGCTTTTGTGAAATGAATACTTTCTTTGATCTTCAGAGTTTTGTTAAAGTACACACCTAAAACTTATGTAGATTAGGATTGTCTAGGACAATAATGTTATGCAATAAAAAAGAGGACTCCAATTTACAACAAACTATACAAAACAGGAATCACTCATGGACTGCTTATTAACTGACTATATTCAGAAGCCCTGAATATATGCATTATTGGTATTTTATGGCTTTAATTAAGACAACTGTCTCTTGTGAAGTACTATAAAGTGCAATTATTAAAAAATTAAAAACCCAAAAGGCATCCAATATCCTTCAGTTTTATCTTGAGAAGAATTGAAGATCTGTTTAATTAAATGGCAAGGAATTATCTACCCTTAATTCATGCATGTAATTTTATCCTTAACATAATTTTATTCAGGGATCCAGACTCCATTCATTCTTTCTGTGTGTATGACATGATTTTAAAAATATTCTCTTTTGGTTAGTTGAGTTTGAACCCTGTCAGTCCCAAGGCCTTAGTTACCCACAGGTCCATTATGAAGGACTGGGCAACCCCGTATGTGAGCATGCAGGAGCATGTGCACATCTGGCACCCATTTTCCTGGGCCAGGATGCCAATCAACAACCTTACAATTCGCACCCAACCTACCACACAAGGAAGTAAATGCGCTGCAATACTGAGTGGTAAGAGGCGGTCCAACCATTGCCCCTGTTTCCTATTTAAACTGAAAATATAAATTGCTTTTGGGTAAGCCAATGCAGGTCCGGAGTTTCTGAATGATCTCCAGTGGTGCCTCCCCCATTCTGAGTTCCCTGTGAGTGTGGGATTATAACCGTAAAACGAAGCTCAGGAACTTGACCTTTCCAAGGCCTCGAGATAATGCTGCACCCACTGTTCACACTTTTCACAGGAGGATAAATGCCTGTGTGTGTGCCCAGGTCATTTCTGCGACTCTGCTGTCTTGTGATTGTGAATTCTGTTCACAGTTTAGTAGCAATTAGGAAGGATTCCCTCCCAACCCAAGTAGTAGTCAGTTATGCAAAGCCTAAGTTGCTGGGGGCAGGAGTCTAGTGTTTTTGAATATTCACATTCAGGAGGTGGAGAAATGCTCATTAAACTGGCCAAGTGCGAGTAAACTGGGGGTGTTGGTGGGGAGAACCTTGAAGGGGACTAAGCACTGGGTCCAACCTGGACTTGAAAACTGGACCTGGGGTTGGAATAAACAGATGGAGGTTCCATAAGGCCAAGCGGAGAGTGGCTCCTAGTCGGTAAGACACCTATTCAAATGCACTGGGCAAACACAGAGAGAGAGAAAGATACAGGAGTCACAGGGAACCAAGATTAATGTGAGTGAGTAAAGAAGTATGATTTCCTGAAAGGTAAGGGCCACAGATGGGTGCATAAAGAGGGAGCAGAGGGTTAGGTTCGAGGCTGTAATCCAGGTGTGGTCAGACATCATACTGGCATCATGATTAGTCATAAGGTTCCATAATTTAAGAGCAACATCAAGGATTTATAAATTAGGTTTAATAGAGAAGAATTGTAACATTTATGAAGAAGGTTAGGAAAAATGATGCAAAAATACTAATCTAAAGTCAGTTTTGATGAAAATAAAGGATTACATAGTGGTGACTCCTAACTGTGTCAAGGGTAAATAGAAAGAGTGCCCACATGCAGTTCTTTTCTGCCAAAAAGAAAAACACAGGTGAAGTCATCGATTTGAAGGGCAAGATTTCACCTGGAAGGCAACTTTTCTGATGCCGATGGCTGTTAATGTTAGTTGATGGAACTGGGTTACACCAGGCATGTCTGTGCTGGGACCCCTCTCCCACAAGAGGGGGTCCTTTAGATTAAGGTAATAAGTTGGACAAACTCTTAACAGAATTAAGCCTTTAGCAAACCCCATAACCCTTTTCCAAACTTCGGTATTTATCTGTTTTCCAGTCTGTCCACCAATCATTTGGCGGAAGTGTTTTGGTTTAGATCATCTGATGTTGCCCAGTCTCTCACACATTCGAACACAGTTGTCTATCCAGTCATAACTACAGGGTCATTTTCGTCTCTAAAAAAATGACTAAGTGGTCGATCGGTTTGTCCTGAGTAGCGCTTTCTCTCGTTTGAAAGACAATTGTCACTAGCCAGAGTAAAGACGCCTGTGAAATTCAGGTGGTTCTGAGCATGACTGATGGGCTGTGCGTGGAAGGGGTGTGAAATGACAGTGCACACATTGTGTGTGTGTGGGCGGGGTCTCGGTGGAAAGCTCGTGTTACTTCCGTAGCAAACGTGAGTGTGCCTACAACTACCACAGATGCCTACAGTCCCCATTCGCCACAGCCCAGTGAAGGGAAACAAACATTGGGATGGTGTAATGATAAGAAATGAGTTTAGTTGGTTGTGAGTGCCCTTTATTGCTTTCCTTGTCTGCTATCCATTTCAGAGATTACGAAGAAGTGAGATTAAAAGAGAAACACAAAGATCCAGAGGCAAGAAGCTAAAGTTAAAGAGACAGCAAACCAGGGGCGTATTACCTACCTTCCCCAAGGCCTCCTTGAGAAGGGGAACGTTTTAAATCTGGGACTCTTGTAACTGGTTAAAAAAAGCCTGAATGTTGTAATTATTTTAACTACCTGGGGGTATGTATCAGTGTGCCACCTACTCTCTTGGGAACCCAGTAAAGCTAACTTGATTTCTCCTTTCTTTTTTCTTCCCACATCAACTCCCTCTTAATGATAAGCCCTAAATGAAGACAGTATTGCTGGGGAAGCTATAAGAGTTGAGGGTGTGTCTTTAAAAATATTAAGCCAGTGGTTATGTGAGATCTGGCTTAGCAAGGATGAGTATTAGCGTCTATAATGAGCTTTCAGGGGACAGCTGACTTCTCCAGAAATCATCCTGAGGATATTTTCTTTATTTCTTTTGGAACAGGACTGACGCTTATAATATGGCCACTTAACGAATGGAGTAGCAATCTGCCTAGGTACAAGGAAGTATGGCAGCCTCATACTCTCGTGTGTGTGTGTGTGTGTGTGTGTGTGTGTGTGTGTGTGTGTGTGTGCTGGTAGAGGTAAAGAATAAAGCTTACTGGAGTGTTTTGAAATGCTTGTATGCAGATCGGTCATAGGACCCATGTCAGACAGTCCAAGCCAATCATTTCAGCGAAGCACTTAACAGAAGTTCCATCTCCTCTATCTTTCTGCCTGGCCAGCAGCCCTGACTGCTGTCATTTCCTTGGTCAGCTTTCTGTGAAGGCGGTGGGGGAGGGGGCTCCCTTCAGAGCTCACCTCCTACCTCCCTTTACAGAAGAGTTGGTTTAAGAGCTGCGAGCAATGGTGGGGAGTTTGCCGACTCTCTCCCTGCCCAGGAATGGATGTACTTTACTATTATCCAATGTCTCATCAGCGAGGCAGCTGTGTTTTGCTGAAAAGGCTCTAAACCACCTGATCTGAGTCTTCCCTAGAAAGTAAATAATAATGGGCCTTGTCAGGTGCCGCTTGTTAAAAGCCTTACAAAGCATTTCCCCCGAATATGAAACAGCCCCTGCGTCTTTTTAAAACCGTCTGAAAAGGCTTTAGGATATTCTTCCGCATCCGCCAAATTGATAAGCGACACTCCCTCTCCTTCCCTGCACAGGGCCTGTGCTTTCCGGATCTGTCACTGCTCGGCTCAGCCCACGGCCTGAGCGGAACACCATCTAATCCCCAGCTTCAGTTCTTCAGGAGCTCGTCGGGTTCAGAGGGCGGCTGGACTCGGCGGGGGAGTTCCCAATTTAGAAGGTTCCGTTTGGGCATTCTCAGTTTGAGCCAGGTTGCTCTCCTGTCCTGAGGCTGCCTAGGGCGGCGGGGAGGTGACAGCAAGACCTGTGCCCTTCACCGTGGGTAAATGGTGCAGCTCCTTTATTTTAGATTGAGCAGTAAGAAGTTGGCTCTTGAATTTCTGGCATTATTTTATACCCTGCTCCAGGGAAGCGAAGAGTATCTGCAGTGCAAATTATTTCCCCCCTTGTACTTTTCTGTTGTGTATTTTTGTCTCCATCAGCACTAGGGGCATGGCTGGAAGGCTGTGAATCTATACGCTCGGGGTGGGGAAATACATGGGTTGGGCACATGTGTGTATGTCGAGATGTGCATGTGCACAGAACAAACCCTGGGAGGGCAGGAGGAAATGTTCCCTTGAGTTGTTGGTGAGCACGACTCTCCTTCCTTCACTTTGGCAAACGTGTGCTCCCTGCTTTTGAATCCTGAATGTGATTGGCTAAGAGGGTGAGGATGTAAGTGGTCGTGTTGTGTATACACATATAGATCTGCTATAAAGATATATGTTTATATATGTATACACACAGGCATGCAGAAGAGGCAGTAGCGGTGACCTACTTAGGAAAGAAACTTCCTTATGGGAATGATCTTTACGCTTTTAAAGATCTATTGTACCCCGTACACTTCTCTCTGGATTCACCGTAGCCCAACACTTAACCTCACAGACACATAGCGAGGGGCCCGCAGGGGCAGGAGACGGTGCCTGTACACCACACTGCAGTGTGCGCCACGGGGGTGGGGACTGGGCCTTGAGAGTGTGTCTTCTCAAGTACAGATCTTCATGAATGGCCACAAGGGTCCCTATGCCATGGGGCTCCCAGGCAAGCGAAATTCTCCTTGGCTGCTTGGATGAGTCTTCGCTGTGATCTGGGGTCTAATGGGAAGAAGCGAGGAGGCGGGGGTGGGGGTGCGGCGGGGGGTGGGAGGGGATGAGGGGAGCACTAGGAAGTGCTGGAGGAAGAACAGGGCTGCACCGGATCTCCCCCATCCTTTCCGGTTTTACAGTCTATCTGCGGTGGAGTCAAAGTCACCTACTCAAACCTTCTTTCACATAAAAAACCCGTCAATAATACAAATCCATGCAATAACCAACTCTGCCAGCGCCCCTTCAAGTCACACACAGGGAAGACAAGCAGAGCTTTTCACTAAAAGTTCACTTATTCTCCTTCACTCTAGGGAACCAGCACAAATTCTTGCCTCAAAACAGAATGTTGCCCTTGAGGAAGGAGATGCAGGTTTACCTCACACAACTGAAAGGCAGACCCTGCAGCGCTGGGGAGACCTGAGAGGCTGCCTCCTGGGCGGCGGCTTGTTCTCCCAGGGGGCCTCCCTGAGAAGCGCTTTTTGCATGTGGGTGAGGAGCAAGGACGGGCACTGGCTGTTACTGCCAGGCCCTGTGCAGTGAGGGGCACTGGCTGTTACTGCCAGGCCCTGTGCAGTGAGGGGCACTGGCTGTTACTGCCAGGCCCTGTGCAGTGAGGGGCACTGGCTGTTACTGCCAGGCCCTGCGCAGTGAGCTGAGGTTTTGCGGAAGGAATACTGAGCTTGATCTGGATGCCAGGTCCCCTTCCTCTTTTTCTCAGCGGTGAGTTCTGTCTGCACCCTGTCTCCCTGTGCTAGGAGGTCTGCGCTCACAACTAAATCACAGCAGTGTCAGTGACACAATAGACTGGAGCCGAGAACACGAGTGGGAGAGCCCCCAGGTGGGGTGTGTGCCAGCTTAGGTGTAGGATGAGTACGAAAGAATGAGCCATCCTCAGTGGACTTTTTCAACTGATTTTAGGAAAAGGGTGACTCGGGGAAATGAAAAACTGCATATTTTCCATCAATGTAGTAGGCCATTTTTTTTCCTGCTGGTTTTATTTTCTGTTCACATAGATCTGAGAAATCATACACGGTGTCAAACAGAACCTGGGGGCGCTGCATGAATGGAATGAAACTACCCCATGAATGCTGAGCAAAATCAGGAAATCAACACCTTGGCGGGGCTGGCTGGAGGCCAGTGTGAAGAAGCTGTCGAGTATAGCCTGTGTACTCTGTAAGCTAGAGAGAGTCCCAGGTGGGTCCCGATGGCAGGAGAAACATGGGTGGTGCATGAACGTTAACCAAATCCTGGTCTTGGCACCCGTCCACCGAGGACTCGGAAACATTCCTCGTGTGCAAGTTCCTTCCCAAACATCTCTACGCTGCCTCAACCCAAGCAGTATTGGTCAGAGTCAACTGAGCTCTATTTAAGGAGTAATGATTTCTTCAGACACCGAAGCCCTTTATGATCACACTGGAAGATGCTTTAAAGAGCTATGCTTTCCATTCCCAGTAGGTGGCAAGTCTCACTAAGCGCCTCTACTGGATGGAATTTCTTATTATATATCCAGGCTCTGAGGGCAGCATTTGGATTATATGAGAGCCCTTAGCATCAAAATGTGTCTAAATGACAACTGCATCTATGACAACTTGCCTCCCTTCTTTTGATGGCAATGGGACATGCATGGGAACAGCAGAGGTTGATTTTATATAGTCTCGCTGTCCTAGAAGAGTGCTAATTTGGTTTGCAATCATAGTTTCTACTTGCATGCTGGGGCAGTATATATATTTAAAACAAACCAAAAACAACAACCCTGGTTACCGTCCCTCTGCCCCCAAACCAGTGTCCACCAAATCTGGGTTTGACCTCCTTCTGGCCCAGGTAACCCTGTGGGGTGGGCAGAGAGTCTTCTTTGTTTGGCTTGTGGAAATGTTTGGAGGGCTCAACCCAGGACCACGACAGACCCTCTCCACCCAGCCCTCTCTCCTGAAACCTATGTCCCTGAAGCATCCCCCTTACCCGGCAGGATCCCAGGAAGTCCAAGGTAGGCAGAAGGTCACAGCAATGATTCCATTGGTGTACCTCTTGCCCTTAAGAGGTAAAGCTCACACAGAAGGTTGATGCCCCTCTTCAAATAGATACTATAAATATATTAGAGCTATCCCTGAAAAGATGCATGTGTATTTATATATATATATAATTTTATATATATGGTGTTTCTTTGTGTTTGTGTACAGGTGTGTATTACTCTATAGGTGTGGAAGGAGAGGTATAGTACAGGAACAGGCGGTGTGCTCATGTGCATCTATTTATACTCTGTATATCGTATAGGTATACACGCAGCTCTGTCCTTGTTTGCATCAGTACCGAGAATGTACCTCCGACCAGCGAGGAGTACCTGTCAGTGGTGAGTGCAGAGAAGCCTCGGATGGACAGTTCCCTCTGCCTCTCGCATGAAGCCATGTCAGCAGGCAAGGGTGGCAGCAGCCTGTGAAACGGCGGGTCCTTGTGGGTCTACCCCTCCTCACGTCCTCCATGGAGGGACCCGCCACATGCCCGGGCTGGGTGCCCGCTGCCTCTTCTCCAGACATCAGGGAGTCTAGAACCCAGAGCGGGGTGGGGGTGGCCCACCCGGGCTGCTGGTTCAAGATATGGCTTTCCCTCTAGATGGAGATCGGGCACATGAGAATCCGGTTTTCGAGGAGGACGCTGAGCACGAGGAACACGAAGTAGAGGCCGAACATGATGAAGCCCAGCACTTTGTTCATCCGCCACTTGCAGAGGGCGATGGAGAGGATGACGAAGAGCAGCATGATGAAGAGCAGGACGATGGCACAGAAGAGGCCATTGCTGCTCACGGCCACCGGCCGGAACCTGTGAATCATGGTGTACAGGAGCCAGGGCAGCGGGAGCCTGCGGGCGAGAGGACAGGGTTGGCAGGGGGCAGGCAGACAGGGTGAAGGAGGCAGGTGAGGTTACCTTAGCTTCGTGGAATCTATACTGGGAAAGGGGTGTCTTGTTAGGCTCACTATGACTTGGGCATGGCTGGCCCGGAAGTCACAAAGGAAGTCAGGCAAGTTTTAAAAACCTTTATCTACGTCCCCACCGAGTGAGGGAGCATGGAGAGAATGTGTTCTCCACTTGGATCCGATCAAAGACATGACTGCGGCAGGCGATTTCTGAATTGGTTTTGAAATAATCATCCCTAGTTGAGATGGAAATGTCACTCTCAGACCTCCAGGGGTGACCTGGAGCATTCGGGTGAGAGGAGGAGAAGACAAATGGAGAAAAGATATGGAAATCAGCAGTGAAGATGGAAGAGTTATTCTTTCTAAATGGAGAGAGAAATGGCAATGACTTAATTAACAACCTAAAAAGCTAGTGCAGATGAATGCTGATGGTGGGGCCAATGCCATGGGGCTGCCTGAAGTTTATGTTGGGAAAGAATGGGACACCCTCTTCACTAAAAATGACCTTTCTGAAAGGTCTGAGGAAGGCAGTATCTTACATTTGTGATGTGATTTAAAAAAACTTTATTATGGATTTTTATCCCTGTTCTCTACTTTTGCATTTGGCTTAACAAATGGAAACATCTTTTGTTTCCTAACCAGAATGGCGACTCTGAAGACAGGAGAGGAGCTAGCTGCCAGGTGCACCATGAGAGTGGGCTAGGCCTCCCTGGAGGGAACGTGGCTGGAAACGTGGGACTCTGGGGAAACCGAACGCTGCCACCCAGGGGCCGAGCCCTCTGCACAGCCCAGGGCTCAGGGAGGTTCCGTTTCGGCCTGGCCTCAGCTGTGTGGAAGAGGAAGCACCCTCTCTAAACACAACGCTCTCCAAAGGAGAAGCACAGAGCTTGAGAGAAACAATGAGCAAAGGGACAGTGAGTTTACACCCGTCTCCTCTGCTGGAGAGTGCATGCGAAGGTAGAGCCCATATGTACATATCTTTGAACTCCCAGAGCCTGGCACATGCGGGTCCCCATCCAGGAACATGTGTTAACCTGGGCCACGCTGAAGTGGTTGATAACTGCCTCATGGTGATCATTTACAGGCACTTTGCTCACAAGAAGCTGTCTAGGAGGTGCTTACTTCGGTGGAGATGTCAGGAGGGGAGCGTTCCACTCAGCCACTGCAGGGAATAGGGGCAATTCCAGCTCTCGGCAGGAGGGGGCACGCCGGCACCCTGCCGTCAGCAATGGGAAGTCATCAAAGGGGAGGGGAGTGCTGGTGTTGATGATACCAAAACCTCTCCTGGGACTTGCCCTGGGCAATTCTATTTACACACTTTCCATAGCTTGTTAATCCACACACACTCACACACACACACACACACACACACACACACACACACACACACACTCAGAGTAGTTCTGGTAAAGAGGTGGTCAATGGTACCACAAATAGGCAAAAACCCTTTGGGGAAAATGACATTTTTCATACCTTTGACCTATCAGTTCTATTGTCAGGGATGGAACATAGTGAATAATTCAAAATGCAGATATAACTTTATCCAGAAAAATGATAATTTGTGTTATTTTGAGTAGTGAAAAACTGGGTATACCTTAAATCTCTAATAATAGGGAACTTGTTAAGTAGTGATGAATTATCAGTGATTTGTATTTATGCTTTATATGTATTGTCTAAATCCTTTCCATGAATATGTAATAATCTTAAGTAAAAAGAAAATAAAAGCAAGACTATGAACCTTTACCAAAACATTGTAAATTGGTATAAACTCTTGGGAAAGACTTTTGGGAAAATATACATCAATAGCCATTAAGATGCTCATAATCTTTAACTCATCAATATTTCTTGAAAGAATTTATCCTATTTAAAATGATTAAAAGAGGAGTTTTTTTTCTGCATACAACGGTTCATAGAAACACTCATAATAGCAGGAAATTAGAAAATATAGAAAGGCCTTACTAAAGGATAATGGTTAAACTGAAAAACAACAGCATGGGATATTTTAGAGCCATAAAATGTTAATTATGAGAGCTATGAAGAAGCTTAGAAAAATGGTTGATTTACTAATTTGCTAATAGATGCCTACCCCATGCCAGGCATAAATGCCTTTAAAATGGAAAAAGAAAAGCCCTCTAAGAAGATAAAACTGAATATTCCCTAAGAAAACTGTGAAATATTTGGAAGAAAACATACAAAAGCTGATGTTGTTCTTGGGTTACTACTGGATTAGGGGTGATTTTTCTTTCAACTTTCATTTGTTACTAAATATACAATTTAAGAACCATGAACAAAAAACATTTTGCAATTTCCTAGAATATTTATTTTTAAAAAACTTGACAAATATGACTTAGAACACTTGTAATTTTCCCCAGTTTTTAGGATTTTCTCTTTTATACTATAGAACATTTTGTTTTCCTTTTTACAAGAGATTGGCCAAGAAAACTATTCTTTTGTAGGTAGCTGAACTGAGAAATACTATTTATATTAGGGATACCCTTCCTTTGAAACATACACCTTCCAAGGCATCTGTCTGTCCGTCTGTCCATCCATCCATCCATCCATCCATCCATCCATCCTGCAAACATTTGTCCAGCCACTACTATGCATTAGACAATGTATTAGGCTTTGGTGAGTTCTTGCTCTTGGGGAGTTCAGTTTAGCCGGCAGACTGATGTACATGACCATGACAAGAGTTCAGGCCCAAGAGAATCAGAGAAGCCCTTATTTTAGTTGACATTGGAAGGATAAGTTGGAGTTTTCCAGGCAGGGAGGGCTCTTGAGTGACAGGGGCCAGTCAAGAAAGGAAGTATGGCAGGAGAGGGCACCTTTGGAACTTAAAGGTGTTTTAGACAGTGGAAGCTCAAAGCAGGATTTATGTACAGATGGTCTACATTTGAAAGCACAGACTCTTCAAAACCCAGCTACCTCTTTTACTATGAACTCTGCACCCTTCAGTTTCCTTATCTGAAAAACAAGGATGATAAAATACCTTATGAATCTCTGTGTGGTTTAAATGGGTAAAAATGTATGTACAATGCACATCGTAGACACTGAATGAAAAATTACTATCATATATATTAGGTGATGGAGAGGTGTAAGAGAGAACAATATCTAAAGTGTTCAATGAGAGAGCAGATCCATTTTAGTGAGTTTCCAGATTCACGTGTCAAGAGCCCAGTTCTCCTGGGAATACAGGAGAACACCCCATGTTTGACTTTCTCAGGGGGCTGCCACTGAAGGCTATTTATCTGACTAACTTTACTTTTGACTGTTACATAAAATGACAGAAGTAACAGCCCCCTCCCCAGTGTGAGCCACTTCAGAGGTTATTCCCATTGAGAACTCCAGTCTGCTGAACTGTAAGAACAGATCTCATCTTCTGACTTTCAAAACACCTAGCACATCTTCACCAGCACAGATAAACAAATGATAATGCGAACCTGCTAGCCCTTCAAAGGAAGGAGATGAGATATTTTTGCCGGGTCTCTGTTTGTTCCAATCTGCTTTATAATCCAAATCTTACCTGAGATCTATAGGGACTTTATTTAGAATTAGAATATGAAAAAGCATATAGTGAAACTACTAGATCATCTCAGTCATGCCTGCCTATTGAATGATCACAGAACATGTAGCCAATGCAATCACAGAAGTGAAATTCTCTTAAAATACTTCCTACAACATTCACTCCGTACACAGGTATGTGTTTCTGCCTGTCTAGGGATAACTTACTCCTCATTAAGTTTTCTGAAAATGGCCGAGACCGGTTTGGCTCAGTGGATAGAGCGTCGGCCTGCGGACTGAGAGGTCCCAGGTTCGATTCTGGTCGGGGGCATGTACCTGGGTTGCAGGCACATCCCCAGTAGGAAATGTGTGGGAGGCAGCTGATCGATGTTTCTCTCTCATCAATGTTTCTAACTCTCTATCTCTCTCCCCTTCCTCTCTGTAAAAAATCAATAAAAAAATATATATATTTTAAAAAAAGTTTTCTGAAAATGAAAAATGGAATCGGTGACACCAAATGGTATTCTCAGTCTTTACTTCCTACTCACATTGGTTAGTGTTGGGCTCAGAGATCCTGGTCATGTCTTCACAGAAGCAAAGACAGCGATGACGCTGATGTGCATCTTTCTAGAACTGTCTCTACTTACCCTACGGTGATGTCAAAAATGTTGCTTCCGACAGAGCTGGATACAGCCATGTCCCCAAGCCCCTTCCGGGCCACTATGACACTGGTGATAAGGTCAGGGATGGAGGTCCCAGCAGCCAAGATGGTCAGGCCCATAATCTCCTCACTAATGCCAATTGTCTCTCCAACCTAAAAGTGATGACAGGGACAAACATGTGAGAGTTTGTAGTCACAAAACCACTCAATCCACAAACATTTCAATGCAACACCCTTTTAATGAGTTCCTCCTCTGGGCTGTGCTGAGCACTGAAATGATAAAGAGGAATAAGCTACAATCATTGCCATAGAGTTTATATGTTAATGATACTCAGACCCAAGAGATTGGGAATATTCACATAAGGTTTAGACAGATAATCTCAAAAAAGGCTACACAGGGAAGCCTCTGTATGGTTTACTAAGATTGGGCAGAGGAAGCAGAAAATAGTTAAAAAAAACACCAACTGGTCAGTGCCTGGCAATGGCACCAAATTCTGTGGCAGATGTCCTTGGATTTACCATTGAAGGCTAAAGAGTTACAGCCAGCACCCCCACGTTTCCTGAACATATCCTAGTGTCCATAACCTCCTCTTAAACACTTAAAACTACCATTTCCAGAGGAAACTTGATTCTGGCTGATTTTGCTTTGATAATACAGAACTGTAAATCAGCAAGGCAGCAATGAAGAAACCATCGTTTAGGGAATCAGAGGACCTGATCTACGGGCTGGCATTTATTAAGTGCTTGACCTATTGCTAAATGACTGCATTGTGCAATGTGCTGGATCCTCCCTTTCTCATCTACGTATAAAGTGGTGATGGTCATACCCACCTTCAAGGTGGTTGTGAGGACTAAGTGATAATTTGTGGAAAAGCCCTTAGTAAATGGCACACATTATTGAAAGGCCAGGGGAGCAATTATACTTTCTTTTGGTCTTGACTTTTACAGACTGATAAGTTCGACCATGCATAGTTGGTCTCTAGCCCAAGCATGTCAAACTTGAGGCCCAGATGCGGCCCACAATGAATATTTTTGCGGACCAGCCAATATAACGGTATGTAAGAAACGTTTTAATAAAAATTTGGTAACTTAATTTTTACAATATCCTGTTATACATAATTAATAACGAACTACAACATTCGCTATTGACTGATTACTATAATCGTGTTGCATTCATTTCACTTATACACCTTACCCACAGGCGCATCATTTCTCTCCACTAATACTAGCAGTGAATATTTTAGCAGCCGATTGCCACATCATTAGTCTTGTACTGACTTGTTTGGTGTGTGCAACAGGAAATATTTTGCTTTCGGAGAACAGGAAAAATAGGTTTATTTGCGTTACGCTTATTAATTTGTGCAGTTATAGTCAGTGTCTGGTAAGTTAATGTTCAAGAAAAAAATATTAATTTTTATTAAAATGTTCTATTATTTTATGTTAACAATTACTCATTTATCTCAGCCCTTTGTATTCAGCATGTCTCTATCAAAATAAACCTATGTTTCTATGAAAATCGAAGCTTTTGGTTTTTTTGCAGCCCACATAAACTTAAACCTTGTTTATTTGGCCCGTGTTAGCCTTTGAGTTTGACATGATTGGTCTAGCCCAGCCGTGGGCAAACTACAGCCCGCGGGCTGGATCCGGCCCGTTTGAAATGAATAAAACTAAAAAAAAAAAAAAAAAGACCATACCCTTTTATGTAATGATGTTTACTTTGAATTTATATTATTATTATTATTTTTTTTTTTAATTTTAGGCACATAATTTTATTTTATTTTATTTTATTTTATTTTTTTATTATTAGTTAAGGTATTACAAATGTGTCCTCATCCCCCCCATTAACCCCCAACCTCCCCCCCACACACACTCATGCTCCCATCCCCCTGTTGTCCATGTCCATTGGTATGGCTTATATACATGTATACAAGTCCTTCGGTTGATCTCTTCCCCTTACCCCCGCCCTCCCCTACTTTCCTTCTGGGGATTGATAGCCTGATTGCTGTTTCTCAGTCTTTGAGTCTGTCCCTTTTCATCAGTCTATGTTGTTCTCTATAATCCACAAATGAGTGAGATCATGTGGTATTTATCTTTCTCTGACTGGCTTATTTCACTTAGCATAATGCTCTCCAGTTGAATTTATATTAGTTCACACAAACACTCCATCCATGCTTTTGTTCCGGCCCTCCGGTCCAGTTTAAGAACCCATTGTGGCCCTCGAGTCAAAAAGTTTGCCCACCCCTGGTCTAGCCTCACATGGAAGCTCCTCCATTCTCTTGAGCAACTTGTTTGTCTTTTGGGGACTTCTGAAAATCTTTAAGATAATGCTTTCAACTTGGTTTCCAACAGCCTACCTGATGATGTCCACAAGTTTTGAAAAAAACTTAAAGGACCGAAGTTGGATGTAAGTTTAAAGATTTTCAGGGAATAGAATAAGCACATTTCTAAATCCCTCTTTTGACTTATAAGTGATAGCTTAGTTCTCACTAGCTTAAAAGCATAGTTGGGAGTTATTTTTATTTTGCTGGTCATGCCTGCTCCAGAGACTGGTGAGTAGCACTAGTCTGCCCTGTCCTCAAGGTGCACGAATTCCCGGCTCCCATGAGAAAGGAAGCTCCATGCACAAAGGGTGGTTGCCTTATTGCTATGGCCTTCCTATTACGCAGAGCACAGCTTGCATAGCTGCTGAATAAACAAAGCAAGCTGCATACGTAGGTGATTTTACTAGCATGTTTTTCTTTTTTAAATCTTTATTGTTGAAAGTATTTCATAAGTCCCCTTTTTAGCATGTCTTTCACTGATTCCCCTAGAAAAACTTAAGTGCCCTATTTGAGCAAAATGTTCTCCTTGATGACTTATTTTTGTTAGATTTGGAGTGAAACGTTTTCAAAGAAGCTGACTAAATGGTTGTCACCCTCAATGAGTTCCCATCTATTTAATATTCGTAATAATTTAACTTCTTAGAGGAAGTTCTAAAGCGGTGACTATTTCAAAATCAATTTATATTTGGAGTTTGAATGCCAGTGCAGACAGAACAATGAAGGAATTAGAGTGGTGGTGTGGTTAAGAGTGCTGGCTTGAGATACAAAGAACTCTGTGTGCAAATCCTAGCCTATCACTCCTAGTGCAACTAGCCAACTTCCCTGAGGCTCAGTTTTTCCCATCTGTGAAATGGGGTTAATAACATCCACCTTAGAGTTGTGATAATTATATGTGATGATGCTTATAAAGCAAATAACACATCGTCAGACGTAAAGTAAATGTCCCATAAATATGAGCTATGATAACTCAGACATTTTTCCTTTCCCTTTCCCATTTATCAATGTACAGCCAGCAGAAGCGGAAGTTGGTTTAGTGGGGTTAGTCCACAGTGTAGGAAATCACACGAATAATGAAGAATTTTCATTGTTCATCAAACCTCCGATGAATCTGTGTGGCTCTAGGAACACTTTTACTGAAGGAGAATTTCTACTTAAGCTCATTTTGAGTGAATTTCACTGAAGGGACTTCTGGCTGCCCAGAGGCAAGGTGATGGGTGCATGGATGGGATAGCATCTAGATCACTTTGGGGAGCATCAGAGAAAGTTGGAGCTAAAAAGGACACCAGGAGCCTCTTGGGGAGCGGATTTCCTTGATTTTTAATAAAAGCAAATGATAGAAGCACTCAGAATCCAAATCCTGTGCTGTTCCTAATATTCTGTGATGCAGTTCCCTGCCTTGGTTTAAGGAAGATTTGCAAAAATGTCATATTGGCTAAACAGAGACATAGGGTCCTAGTTGACTTTTAGAATTAACTTTTCATACTAGATGCAGTATAGATTTTAACCACAGGTTTTCATCACCCATGAAATCTACTAAGAAAAAGATACACGACGCAAAAACTATGTAAAAAGAACAAATACAAAGGGAAATATGCATAAAGCATTTTATGTGAAGGGCACTCCTTTTGGCCAAATAGTAGTCAAATAAGGGTATCAAATAGGATTTATTATTGGTAAAACTGTGGATACCAAAACAGTTGAGGACTAAGTGGTGTTCTCGCTATTTTTATAGCTTGTAGAGTTCAAAAGTACAAACATTAGAATTTGAGCTACACTTCTCAGAACAGAGTCTGCTATTGTGATCAGCTGTGTGGATGTTTTGAAAGAGAAACACATTTCTATGGGAGGAAAGAAAGAGAAACTTCTCATCTATTATTGGAAAGCGAGGCTTCTCTTTATATTTCTGGGACTTTCTGTAATTATTATTGTTCCAGGCATTTTGTTTATGCTTTTCTACAAGAGAATGAAAAGGAAAGAAGATTGTGGAGTAAAGATGAGCATTGAAAAGAAAATGGTGAAAGCCTGTACAATAATGTTTTCTAGGATGGCAAAGAGAAGTAGCTATAAAACAACGTATTCCAGCAAGTGAAAAGCCCCGCTTTTTCATTATCAGTGCACGAAAGAATAAAAATGATTATTAGGAAAAGCCATCATTTTAGCCTGGAAATCTGAAGGCTGAGAAGCAGCCCACCTCTGCAGTAATTTTTTTGCCAGGAATTGGTAGCAACTGTCTCTCAATGAATATGGAAAATAATGACTTAGTGGCAAAAAGAACTTCTTCAGGGGACCGTGATTTTGAGGAAATATCCAAGAAGAATAATCTGAAGTCAAATGTCATTAAGATAACTGTGATAGTAATAATATAAAATACCTTGTAGGAATAACTTTGGGTATATCAGCCAATATTTTCAGTAAATTTTGTTAATGATTCCCTAAATTCCTTAAAAAAAAATCCTCACTTGAGGATATTTTTTCCATTGATTTTTAGAGAAAATGGAAGGGAGGGGGAGAGAGAAGGGGAGAAGGAGAGAGGAAGGCAGGGAAGGAGGGAGTAAAGGAGGGAGGGAGGGAGGCAGAGAGAGAGGGAGGGAGGGAAGGAGGGAGAGAGAAAGAGAGAAAGAGAGAGAAAGAGAAAGAAAGAGAGAGAGAAACACAGATGTGAGAGATTGATTGCCTCCTGCATGTGCCCCAATCAGGGCCAGGGATCGAACCTGCAACACAGGTACGTGCCCTTGATGTGGAATCGAACCCGAGACCCTTCTGTGTGTGGGTCGTTGCTCTAACCACTGCTCAGGGCATAATTCCTTTACATTCCCAAGAAGAAACTCTATACCTATTATCAGTCTCTCCCCATTTCCCCTTCTCCTTCCCCAAACCAAGGCATCCATTAACCTACTTTCTGTCTCTATAGATTTGACTATTTTTTTACATTTCATATAAATGGAGTCACATAACACATGATCTTTGGTGACTGGCTTTTCTTCACTTAGCATAAAATTTAGAGGTTCAATCACATTGTAACATGTATCAATACTTCTTCCTTTTTATTGTGAAATATTATTCCATCATATAGATCGATCACATTTTACTTACCTGTTCATCAGTTGATGGACATCTGGGTTGTTTACAGCTTTGGCTACTGTGAATAATACTGCTATGGATATGTGTGTACACATTTTTGTGTAGATGTTCTCTTTTCTCTTGGGTATACATCAAGAATGGAATCACTGATCATATGGTAACTCTATACTTAAAATTTTGTGGAGCTGCCAAACTGCTTTTTAAGGTAACTGCACTATTTTACATTCTTACCAGCAATATAAAAGGATTCCAATTTCTACACAGTCTTCCTAACACTTGTTTTGGGCTGTCTTTTTAATTACATCCATCCATCTTAGTGACTGTGAAGTGGTATCTCATTGTGGTTTCGACTTGCAGTTCTCTAAGGAATAATGATGTTGAGCATCTTTTCTTATGTTTATTAGCTATTTGCATATCTTCTTTGGTGACATAGCTATTCAAATCTTTCACCCATCTTCAAAATTAGGATGCCGTCTGCTTGCCTTCTTATTATTGAGCTTTAGGGGATTTTTATACTAGTATAGCCTGGATACAGTGCTTTATCAGGTATATAGGTTTGAAAATAGGTTCTAATCTAAATTCATTTATTTTGCCATATGGAAACCCAGTTATTCCAGCACCATTTGTTGAGATATCTTTCCATATATGTTCTTGAAGGAATATATTTCCTTATTTCAAACTGCTATATTTTACTTATGTTTAAAAGTATAATAATGTGAAGGCTAATATAATAATGAAACAAAGGGTCCAAGTGGGCAGTTTGTAATTTAGGTAATTTATAATTGAGATTAAAAGCCTAAATTCTGGAGTTTCAGAGCAGGGGTTAGAATCTCAGGTCTGCTATTTACTACCTATATGATCCTGGGCAATTTTCTTAGGAACTTTAAGCTTAACTCTTTTAACTGTAAACTGTGAAGAATAATAGGTCCTCCCTCATAGGATTTGCATTTATGGACAAATTGTCAAGGGTTATTGTCAAGATTATAAGGACAAAGGGATGTGAGTTGCCTGGCACACAGTACACAATCAATAATGGTTACCACTATTTTCTCTTCTTTCGCATCTCATTCTTTCATTCACGTGTTAAAACAAACACTTACTGAGAGTTTAGTCTTGTGATAGGCATGATGACTGGTCTTTTCCTAAGAGCCAATGGAACTGCCTTATGACCCAGCGATTCCACTTCTGGGTCTATATCCAAAGGAACCCGAAACACTAATTCGAAAGAATATATGTACCCCTATGTTCACTGCAGCATTATTTACAATAACCAAGATATGGAAGCAACCCAAGAGCCCATCAATAGAAGAGTGGATAAAAAAGCTGTAGTATATATATATACAATGGAACATTACTTGGACATAAAAAAATTAAAAAGAAATCTTACCATTTGTGGCAACATGGAAGGACCTAGAGGGTATTATGCTAAGTGAAATAAGTCAGTCAGAAAAAGACAAATGTCATATGATTTCACTTACATGTGGAATCTAAAGAACAATATAAATGAGCAAACAAAACAGAAACAGACTCGTAGGTACAAAGAACAGACTGATGGCTGCAAGAGGCAAGAGGGTGTTGGGGGCCTGGGTGAAAAAGGTGAAGGGATTAAGAAGTACAAATTGGTAGTTACAAAATAGTCATGGGATGTAATATACAGCATGGGAATATAGTAAATAATATTGTAATAACTGTGTACAGTGCCAGGTGATTACTAGAAATATGATGGGGAATACTTTGTGAAGTATATGATTGTATACCTGAAACTAATACAAAATAATACTGATCGTCAACTGTAATTGAAAAAAAGAAAGGCTGGCCCTAGCTGGTTTAGCTCAGTGGACAGAGCGTTGGCCCACAGACTGAAGGGTCCTGGGTTTGATTCTGGTCCAGGGCATGGCCCTGGTTGGGGCGTGAGTGGGAGGCAACCAATCAATGTGTCTCTCTCACATCGATGTTTCTCTTTGTCTCTCCCCCTCCCTTCTACTCTCTCTAAAAATCAATGGGTGAGGATCAATAAAAAAAGAAGGCTGGTTAACTCCCGAAGAGAAAGTAAGTGCTACTGAGTCAGGCAAAACCTCAACATCCCAATGGAGTACTACACAGCTGTAAGAAAGAAGGAAATAGCGCCATTTACAACAACAAGGATGGGCCTTGAGAACATTATGCGAAGTGAAATAAGTCAAACAGAGAAAGCTTAGAAGTATATGTTTAACTCATATGTGGAATATGAAACTGAAACTAATGTGCACGAACAGAGTGTGGCGGTTGCCGGGGGGGGGGGGGGGTGGGGTGGGGGGCGGGGGTAGGGGAAGAAAGGGGTCTTAATATGACGTGACAGGAGAGGATTTGACTTTGGGTGGTGGGCACATGGTCCTATATACAGATTTTGTAAATTAGTAATCCACACATCTAACCTATATGTTCATAATGTCACCCCAATAAAATAAAAATAATAATAAAAAAATCAATGGGTGAAGATTAATTAAAAAAAAAAAAAAAGGCCGGTTAACTCCCGAAGAGAAAGTAAGGGCTACCGAGTCAGGCAGAACCTCAACATCCCTCCCAGGCCTGAGCTGGCTTGGTTTCAGGCTGCAGCGGGCAAGAAGCAGCTCGGTTTGCCTTCCTTCCTCCACATGCCTGACCGGAGCTTTCTGACCTCACAATCCAGGGAAAGGCCAGGAGACACGGGAAAGTTAAGTGGGGTAAATTCCTTTGGTCCTGGAATATTTAAGTTGTCTTGTCAGACACAATACTGTTGTGACAGTCTCAGAAAGCAAGCACACTGATTAACAACTTAGCAACACCAGGCAGATGGCATCACGGTCAAGGTCTTACCTGGTGTGCCCACCAGACCATTAAGTAAGAGAATATTGCGATCCAGGTGATGGCGCCGAAGAACGTGATGGGGAAAAACTTCCTTGCTGACTGAAAGAGAACCAGGGAGAGGCGAGAGCATCAGTTCTATCAACTGAGTGGATCTGATAGTCCAAAGCTAAATCCACCGAAGCAGCTGGCCGTCTTGGTAGGGTTGGCAATCAAAAGGCCCTGACCACCCCTGGGCAAGCGGGGCAGTAAGATTCTCGGGGAATTTGAACTTGGTTAGAGCCAAATCATTGCAAAGCTAGTGCCTGAGATGGAACTTTCCTGAAGAGAATGTCTTCTCCTGCTGCTGGATGCTCAGATGCCCTTCCCAAGGCCTGGTTTCTCAGCCTCGCCTTCAACCTATTAACTACCCCACACCCTCCCTCCCTCTCCTGCTCCCTTTTCTTTCTTCCGCTCAAGTTCATCAGAATCAGTTTCTATTACTTCAACCCATGCATCATAATAATCCACATACCACAAAACCTATGGGATTAATTACATTGTACAAGAAACAGGAAGAATTCAAAAACAGAGTGGCTCATCTTACAGTCCCACGAGTGGTCAGGAAAAACCACACAGAAAAAGCCATCACCATGGTTTCTATAGATCCCTGATCATGGCCAGTCGGGGACATTTGAACCACTCATAGGGACAGGAACACACAGATGCCCAACTGTATGGCTTTCCTTGGGGGTGGCAGAGTGGACACTCCTGGGATGTTCTCCATCCTTAATTATGTCCAATTCTGTCTTTACCGCTGGACTTTGTGCAATCTCAGGCTTACAGTACAAGCACTTTAAAAAATTCTTTATTGTTGAAAGTATTACATAGGTCCCCCTCCCCCCCCATTGTCCTCTCCGAGCTTGCCCCTGCCCCCCAGCCTTGGCCTTCACCCCACCCCCATTGTCTGTCCATTGGTTATGCTTATATGCATACATGTTCTTTGGTTGACCTCTTATTTCCACCTCCCCACGCCCACCCTCCCCTGCCTTCCCTCTGAGGTTGACAGTCTGTTCGATGACTCTGTAAGTACGAGCGCTTTTAAAGTTTCCTTCAAACATCAGCCGGAATCAGACACTCAAAATGCAGTGTTTCTTACCTGACCCCACCGTAGGGAAATCCAGGCTTGCCCTGTCGTTAGTGGTTTTTCTGTGGAGGCCCTTTTTGCAAAATGTTTTAAGAGCCTATCACCTGTTATTGCCAAACACTTTTTATTTCAAAGCTTTCTACTTTGAGAAACAATCTATTTTTTGCTTTGATAATGCCATCCAATTTTGTCCAGAGAAATGAATCCCGGAGTTGACTGGGATGAAAGCTATCTCAGCCGTCTGAAGGGCTGACCTTGGGCAATCATGTAGAACACTTTTTGCTACGGCTTCTGAGAAACCCATTAAAAGGAAAAGATAAACTTGTGCACGGTAATCTTTTGAATATCCATAAGATGAACACAGTCTCTATCGCTCTAAACCAGGCTTATGTTCTCTTTACTAATTTCAAGTTTTCAATATGCTTTTATTGTCATTCACACAGTTCTGTTAAATTTCACAATAATCATGTCTCTCTTTGAATGACTGTGGCTTTTCTGGGGTCATTCGTTAGCTGGGCTATCGGGCAGACCAGTGGGCTTGATGAAACTGGGGAGACAGCAGGCCACAGTGAGTAGCCACAAGCTTATTCTCAAATACTGCCCCCCCCCACCTCTACCATCTCTCAAATATTTTGGTCAAAGATTCAGACCCCTTTGGGGATGTGAGCAGTTTAACAGATTATGGGAAAAAGAAATCCATTTTTCAAAGTGGAGATTGAGACATTCACTTTAAATATATATATATATATATATATATATATATATATATATATATATATTGTTGATAGTATTACGGATATCTCCCATTTCCCCATTCCTCCTATCCCTGTCCTTCTAGCTCCTACCCACCTCCCAGGTCTTCACCACTCTATTGCCCGTGTCTGTGGGCTATGCATATAAGTATATAAGTTCTTTGGTTTATCTCTTCTCCTGTCTCCAACCCCACATCAAGGTATGTCAGTCTCTTTCATGCCTTCATGCTTCGGGTCTTATTTAGTTGGTCAATTCATTTTGTTCATTGGATTCCACAAATAAGTAAGATCATGTGATATTTGTCTTTCTCAGATTGGCTTATTTCACTTAGCATAATATTTTCCAGGTCCATCTATGCTGTCCCAAAGGGTAAGAGATTCCTTCCCTCCTGTTTTACAGCTGCTTAGTATTCCATAGTGTAAATGTCCCACAGCTTTTTTATCCACTTATCTACTAATGGGCACCTGTGCTGTTTCCAAATCTTAGCTATTGTAAATAATGCTGCTATGAACATAAGGGTGCATATAATCTTTCTGGTTGGTGTTTTGGGGTTTTTAGGATATATTTCCAGAAGTGGGATCATTGGAGATATTCACCTTAGAAAGCAAATTCCTTTAAAACTGGGAGTTCAGCTGGACCCTGGAGGCCAGATTCCCTGAGCCTTGGGATTGCCACTGCTAAGAAATCAAGTTTCCCCTGCAAGGCATTTAGCTGATTCCAGTCCTCATCCTTTTCCTCTGGTCACAGGTCACTGTTCTGGGATCCCAAGTGCGAAGGGGGTTTCATCTTCTATGGCCCCACTCTGACACAGGGAAGAGAAGGGCGGGGCCACACATGTGGCCGAACAGCAGTCAGTGAGCTTGATTCTGAGCATCCTGTTGAGGGGAATGGAGCACCATCTCCATAGTTGATGGGATGGCACCTGTACTGGGTATCCCGGGAGGGTCCTCATTTCATAGATCATTCCCTTTCCAGCTTAGCTCATTTACTAAGTATGTAGTTATTATTTTAACTTTTATAACTTTGCATATCTGCTCATTGATATAATGTCACAACTCAGAATCAAATCATTTGAACATATTTCTCATCTAAAAAATATCCCTGAACCATAGAACATTCCCAGTCAAAAGGTAGAAAGTCAGGCATCAGACTAAGGGTTTAAAGCAACTAAGTTCAGATCAGTATTAGTGAAAACCTCTTGAATTCAAAAGTTGGTGCTTATGATTCTTAATCAAGAAGCCCATTAGTAAGGAATGAGCACTGAAATGTACCTTGATCTAGTGTAATATTTGGGGATCATTACAAAAGGGTTAAAAATAACTTTTCCGGGTGACTTTTCAGGTCTTCATCATTAACTAGGGGTAGGTAAACGTGGCACCTACTCTGTACCCAGGTCTTGAATGAGACATAAAATTCAAAAGTAGGTCTGACTATACAGCAGGTGTTCCCAACATCTAGGTTATACCGACTCTTTCCAAAAGAAAAACAGGGCCAGTAACACTCAAAATATACCCAGCCACAGGCACATAATCATCACCATCATTATAACACTAGCCTATGCTCTGAAAGCCAGAAAGTATAAAGAGCATCAGGGAAGTGTAGACTAGCATCCCAGCTGCGTGGCCATCTGCCGCACCCAGCCTCCCTGTCGTCCCTGCTCTGGAAGCATCTCCCTTCGAGCATCAGCAGTTTGGCTCAGCGCTGCCCAACTGTCAAACTACCTTACCATTTCCAGACTCACAGCCCAGGTTATTCCTTCTTCTTTCATTTTTTTCCTGAACGATTCCCCTCATTTGGACTCTATGGCCTCATTCCAGGCATCACGGCCCAGCAGCACCTGGGCAGTTATTTAGTTACCGTCTCCACGGAGGGAAGAAAATAGCCCTTGCAGACAAGGGCTGCCATGTCAATTTATGGTTAGTAATGGGGGCTCATCCTGACATCTGCTGGGATGGGCCTAACGCTAATTAGCAAAAAGCAAATTGTGTCCATGTGCCGGCCATTTTGTTCCCAATGTAATGGCTTCCTTGTATAATTGACAGCTAATGTTCTCATTAGAAGCTTTTAGTACATCAGAGTGATATTTTCTTGGCTTGCAAAACGTTGCTGAACATTAGCTCATTGCACAAATTAGCCATATCCCTACTAATTTAAACTCGACAAATACTCACTGAGCATCTACTCTGTGGAAGATTCTGGGGCGTACATATTTAACAAAGTTCTCCAAAACAATCCTATTAAAGATTAAAAGTATGGTTTCTAGATTAATAGGACAGGCATTAAAATCCTTGCTGATGTCCGGCCAGTGTGGCTCAGTGGTTGAACGTCAACCCATGAACCAGGAGGTCACCATTCAACTCCCAGTCAAGGCATTTGCCTGGGTTGCTGGCTTGATCCCTAGTAAGGGGCGTGCAGGAGGCAGCCGATCAATGTTTTGTGATTGATGTTTCTATCTCTCCCTTCCTGTCTAAAAAAACAACAACAACCAATAAAAACATATTAAAAAAAATTCTTGCTCAGCAATTACCAGTGATGTGTCCTGAGACAAATTATTTAATCTCTCTAAGCCTCAATTTCTTCATCTGTAAAATGGGGGAATAGCAATATCTAGTCAGTCTGAGGATCTCATGCACATAAAGTGTCCAGCAAAGTGCCAGGCACACAGTAAGTGCACAGATAACAATGGCCATTATTATTTGACTATATTATCCTCATATTGGTTTTTTTTTAAGAGATTAGGAAATTGAAACTCAGGGAGGAGCAAGTGACTGTAGAGACCTGGAGTCTTGGCTTTACCTCTTCTTAGCAGGGTGTGCTTGGACAATCACTACGCTCTCTGGGTTCAGTGGTCACTTACTCCTTGCTAGAGCTGTGCAGGGCACATGGTAGACATAATAAATCTACTTGGTGAATGAATCAATGTGTGATGAAAATAGCAAAAACCTTGCTGCGTTCTCAGGTACCTTCCTAGCTCTGATGAGTCATGTTTTGATATCTCATTGGGTGTGTTCCTGATTTACAAGAACACCCATCCTACGCCATGAAAGGATCTATCTTTTTGGGTCTTTATTTCCTTTATTATTTTCAATTTTCATCAAAGATATGTTCCTCATTAAGGTTTACATTTTTTTTTTTTTTAACTTTCAAAACAAAGCCATTAATTTAAGGAAACTATAAAAGTGAAGCCCAGACTAATTATCTGAGCTGGAAGCGTATATAATACAACAAACACTGTCGCATCATTTGCATATAAATGAAGTGGAAATGAAAACAAGCGGGGGTGCCATTTACTCTGAAAGTAGATGTATACGTTTTTTAAAAAAACCGTGTTTTCTTTGTAATTATTGTCAAGGTTTGGATGTTCATCTCCATGGGCAATTCAAAAACTACTGAGGAGGATGGAGGGGCTAAATGGTGATGGGAAACAAACAAAACAAAAAACTACACTGAGGAGGCAGAGCTGCCAGGCCCTGAGGAGTAGCAAATGTCCACTAATTAATAATTTTTGACTTGTTCTCTCCTCTTCCTGGGTAATTTTTCAAGAGGCCCTGGGGCAGTACATGAGGAAGTAGCATGCTTCCTTTCATTTGGCATTTCCTGTATGTAAAGGGTAACCACGTAGTTCAACTTCCAAACCTGTACCCACAGTAAATGAGGACTGCCCTGGGCCAACGGGCTGTGCGGTCACCTTGAACACCGTCCTGATGGCTATCTCTTTATGCTTTCCTGAATCACAGAAGGTCACGGCTGCCCGGGAATCTAGAGGTCTTCCACCCTGTCTTTCACAGAAGAGAAACATGAGGTCCAGAGGTGAGAAGTGACTTTCTCAAGGTTGCGCTGCTCATGAGACGCTGGGTAAAACCACCACCGTTTACCATGGTAGAATGAGAATGCTGTGGCGTCAGCAAACCCGGGTTCGAGTCTGGCTCCTCTCACCGACACAGCTGTGCAGTCTTGCTCTGTAGTTCCATGTGGCCATGCTTTGCTCCCTCTACTCAGCTTAGAGTTCCTTAAAGGTAGGAACTGTGAATTCTGTGTCTTCCTATCTCTTTTAGGGCACAAGCGTGATACTTGGCACGTAATAGGTGCTCAATAAATATTTGCTGAAGGACTCTAAAACCAACCAAATGTTCTGGGGGGTGGGTGTCTCATTTCTGCTCGGGAGAGCACATAGTATACTCCAAAACAGACAGGGCACATCTAGTCCACCCCAGGGATGGCACTTGGGGCTGCAATGAGCCGAAGCCCCATTGGCTACAGTGGCCCAGGCTGCAGGGGAGCGCTCTCACGCTGCCTGTACAGCGAGTGACCCGCCAGTGGTCCTGCAGAGGAGAGGGATATGTACAGCTGCGTTTTCTTGCTCTGCGCCCCTGGGAATTGTAGCATCAGCCAGCGTAGTCGTGCTGCTCCAGGTAACTATTGCCACAGCAGAGTCTTGACTGTTGTCCAGGAGTTGCTGGTTGAGAGCTGGATCTTCTCGAACAGCTTCCTTGTCCCTCCAGCTCAGACGATGCAGAAGATGAGCACCTTGTCAGCCTTTTCTCTAGGAGTCCCACCTGACCCTGAGAGCCCAGAGCCTCCAGCTATTAACATGTTTTTCCCATTCCTGCGCTTTTCCCGGTTGTGTGCTGACATCTTCTTATTAGCCAATCATCCTCTCCTCTGGGCTGTGCCACAGTGAGGCCTGCTGTGGGGATTTACAAAAACATGTCTCTCTCCCTGATTTTCCTCCCTGGGGCTGAGCGAAAGCACTGGGCTAAACGGAGAAATGGAAATGCAGAGAGGACGCAAGTGAGTGTGTGGGCGCATGTGAGCACGCACATCTCAGAAATGCCATGTGATGTGAGCCAGGAAGAAACTGCACACATCCCAGCTGCTGGGCTGTGGGTTTCCAGGAGGCCAGCCTTTGCAGAGAGCAGGTGCTCTGCTACTTGTTGCTTTAACTTTACTAGGAAACTTCTGTCGGGAGTCTGACAGGGGGTCCTTATACTAGGGCAGTGGTCGGCAAACTCATTAGTCAACAGAGCCAAATATCAACAGTACAACAATTGAAATTTCTTTTGAGAGCCAAATTTTTTAAACTTAAACTATATAGGTAGGCACATTGTTATTAACTTAATTAAGGTACTCCTAAGGCTTAGGAAGAGCTACACTCAAGGGGCCAAAGAGCCGAATGTGGCTCGTGAGCCACAGTTTGCCGACCACGGCACTAGGGGGTCCTTTCCTGGCCTGAACTTTACAAGACATGGCTCTCCAACAGGCTGGATTTTTTATAGGTGAGGTTAATGGGACAGAGTTTTTCTTTGGTCTTTTTCAAGTGAGGAAAGTGGCTCATCATGACTCAAGAGTTATGCTAAATTATGTTGGATGTTACCACAGTAGTCTATTCCAAATGCTTTCAGAAATAATGCTTTCAGATGTCCACCTTCTGGCATCATGAAATATGAGAAGCTCACGCTGTGTGGTCACTGGTGCCTGACACTGAATCTCAGCTCCCTCCCCTGGGAAGTGACCAGGCATGAGTTAATTCCTTTGTACCTAAGTTTCTTTCTACTTATGCCAATTATTTACACACTAGAGGCCTGGTACATGAAATTCGTGCATGGGTAGGGTCCCTTGGCCTGGCCAGCGATCAGGGCCAATCGGGGCCTTCCTTCCCGGGGCTGCCGCTAGTACATCATAGCCAGCGCTCAAACTCCCAAGGGGACAATTTGCATATTAGCCTTTTATTATATAGGATATGTATTTTTCTCATACCAGTTGTTTCCTGAGATGCCACAATATGCTTTATTGAAAATACCTAGGGCAGAAGCTGATACATGATAGGTATACATTTTTGTGGAATGAGTATGTGTCTACAAGGCTGTAACAACAAGTAGAGCCTTTTCTTCTTATTTTTCAGTAATTCCTTCACCCTTTGGGGCAATGGCCTTAGAACCCAGTTTAACAACACTGGGAGGGGGTGTTCTTTTGGTTTCATCTACATTCAGATTGTACTTTGCTGATCATAAGATGGTATTATGTTCACAGCACCCAGTACATTACTAACGGCAGAAAAGAATATTGATTGCAGTAATGATAACAATACAGGAAGGAGATCAGACGTGCAAACATTTGTACTACATGAATGCATTTCTTTAAATTACTTTTTGAATCAAATGAGTAATCCATGGACATACATATTCAACAAAATGTGAGTGCTCAGGGACAATGCTGTGGTGGTGTTAAAACATGTGTGCTAATGCTGTGACACTCTTCCTCTCCAGAGTGCCATACACTCTAGGACCCGATGTAGTTTAGGTAGACCTTCTGTCTCCTCACCTTTAATCAGGACAAACTATGGCTGCCTTGACCTGGAACGTGCAGCTCCACTGAGTCTACGTGGCTTCTGCGACTAGTGCATCGGACGCGGTGCAGCTCCTGCCTTGTGCCGCTGGAACACCTACTCTCAAAGCCTGCTCCGGATGGAAGACACCTGCCTGTCTTGAGGCCACCACACCCGCGGAAGCCCCAGTCACATGGAGAGGACATGCCTAGGCTTTCCAGTAGATGATTCTGGCTGTGTTCAGCCTTTGAATCGTCTCTGCTCAGTTGGAGAAGCCTCCAGCCTCCAGCCATGTCACTCTTCCCAGCCGAGGCCAGAGACATGGCAGAGCAGAGACAAGCCATCGCCAATGTGCCCTATTCAGATTCCTGGAACACATGGTGGTGGTGTCACACGACTAAGTTTTGGGGTGGTTTCTCATGTGGAACCAATAATGCAAACAGTCCAGATAAACTTCAGGCATCTATAAGCACGCGCATGTACTAGTATATATGTTACCCCCTTTTCCATTTAAGACAAATAGAAGCAGACAAGGCATCCTGTTATATACTGTGCTTTCAAACAAGGAATCGATTCAAAAATGCTTTACTCACAGGTTTGCGGACATCAGGCAAGGTGAGCCAGAGAGGAAACACTATGGGGAGGACAATGAGGAACGTGACTTGCTTGCGGGGGTTGGGGGGCCAGGCCAGGCTGAGAGGCTGGTCATCCTCGTCGTCACCCGTTTCTGTGGTCTGCTGTGGAGAGAGAGAGAGAAACACATCAAAATGAACCAATGATCATGCCCACAGGCCGCAGGAGCCAGAGCACAGAGCAGGGCGGAGGCTCTGTGCCACTTCAGGAGTTTGCTTGGCTCATGCCAGCAGCTTCCTCCATGCATTTCTTAGGTTTGTAAGAGAGCCCCACCCGCCACAGTCTGAATTCGAGGGACAGGCAATACCATGCCCCGCCATGAGGACTTCAGAACGTTCTCTTTCCTCCCTGAACACTCTTTAGCACCTCAGATGGAACTGGTCATTCACCTGGACTGGGCTACAGCTGTAACCCAGGAGCTTTTCACAAGAAATCGTATCTGCAGAGCAAAAGACCTGCCACCCACCTTCTCCTCCTCCTCCCTTCTTAAGGACAAAGCCAAAGGATTCATCATAAAAATCCTTGGAAAGAATATGAAATTTTTTTTGTTTTGTTTTGTTAATCCTCCTCATCCGAGGATATTTTTCATTGATTTTGAGAGAGAGTGGAAAAAAGGGGGAGACACACACAGAGAGAAACATTGATGTGAGAGAGACATATCAATTTGGTTGCCTCACCATGCGCCTTGACCAGAATTGAATCCAGGACCCTTCAATCCTTGGGCCGACACTCTATCCTGAGCCAAACCAGCTAGGGCTATTACATTTGTTAAAAAATTATTTATTGATTGATTAATAGCACTGATTTTGAGTGGGCAAATGAAAGTAACCACAGCAATAATTCAGTAACAATACTCAATTCCCTTCACTGGCCCACGGATTACTGTGTGGTTGTGAGTTTTAACCAGTTTGATCATCTCATTACTAGTAAATCCTAAACCATTTTACTTCTAGCCAAAGGCTGATTATGCAAACATGTGTCCCATCCATCCGCGGACACAGGGTTGGGAAGTCGAGCAGGACATGGAGCCTGGGGCTGTCACCTGCACGCGGCCCCAGAGCTGGGAGAACGTCAGACTTTCAGACGTGGCAGCAGGCAGCCAGGGCTTTATTCATCACCTGCTGACGCCAGCAGCTCCTGAAGTCCCAGAGCCAGAACAGACAGACGGCGGGTCTGGGCCTGGCGGGATGACCGTTAGCCTGTCAGATGGGCCCCCCGAGCCTCCGAAACAGCCCTGCAGACAGCATCCATCACTTCCATCCCTGCTTGTATAGAAATGAAAGTGCGGAAGCAGGACCAACATCTGATCTAAAAATATCATCAGGAACTTTCCCAGGATGCTTCCTTTGGAGGCCATATAAATAACCCGCACAGGCTTCATGCAGCGCTGCCCGTGGCTCTTCCTTCCAGCATCGCGCACTATTTCCAGCAGCAGCGCTGACTCCACCGGCACCCCTCTCCCGAAGGAGCAGGCAGGTGGGCAGGTGCAGGCCGGTGGGATAGGGCATAAGGGCTCAACGAGAGGCCGGGCTGGGTGTGAGGCCAGGCTCATTGCAGTGTTATGTTTACTTATAATTTCAATCTGAGAGCTGCCAAAAGGAGTTGTGGTTTACCCAATCACCCACACGCTCTCTCCAGGAGTTAAAGTTAAAAATAATAACAATAATTAAAAAGGAATCTTAAATCATACTAGACAGGGTTGGTCTTAACAGGTTCTTTCTCATTGGGCGTATGTCCTTGGCAGTGGGTAAAATAGTTTCTAAACAGCAAATAGGCTGGAATGAAGAGGATTAGGTAACAAGGTAGAATTAGGAAGTTGGCTCAGTTTAATTTGGTCGTCCAGATCCTCATTAAATACACGCCTCACATTTTCCATCCCTTTGCTATGCAACATGTTGGGAGAAATGAAAGATCTAAAATGAATAACCTACATTCCTACCTTAGGAAACCAGAATAAAAAAGAGCAAATTAAACCCAAAGTAAGCAAAAGAACAGATTTTAAAATATTAGAGCAGAAACCAATGAAACTGAAACCAGAAAATCAATACACTCAACAAAACCAAAAGCTGGTTTCCTTGCTATGCACTTTGATGTGGTCCACTTACTGCTTTCTCTCCTCATCCTGAGGGCTCCCACCCACGGGGGAGGCATGGGCGTGCTGTCCTGGTTCCCCTTCTGAGCCACCCACCCCATCTCCTCCCGGGAATGGAGCAGATAGAGCGCATATCATCCCCAGTTGAGATCTCGGTCTCTCCAGGTGTCAGCTGGCTACCTGTTCATGAGGCCAGTGAAGATGAAGGAGACAGGTGCATTTTAACTGTTCCCTCCCAGATATGATCATCTTTTCTGTTTAACCCAAATAACTGACTTTCCCTCCCCACCTGATAGATGCCTCAAAATGGGGAGGACCATGGGAGAGTCGAGGCATTGCATCCTTCCGAACAGGTCCCCGGTCTCACATGGGATGGTTGGTTCTATTGTCAGGGGATCCCAGCACTTCTCTGAAGACTCACCAAGCTGATCGGATGGGTTCATCAGACTCCTCCCCCTTCCAGGGTTGACACTCCGTCTGGCCTCCCACTACCGTCTGCAATCTAGCAACTTCTTCTACACGCTAAGCTAACCTTTTTGTGACAAAAAAACATAAGCAACTCTTTATGACTCAGATCATTTAAATGACACCAACAGATGGTGACATTTCATCAATAGCCCTTCTGCTCATAACCTACGGAGTAGCTCCTTTCCCCATCTGCCAAAGTCACCAGGCAGGCAGTGCCACCAGCAAATGGCAGAAAATAATTGTCTGTTTAGAGGCATAAGCTCTAAACATGCTACTGTCCAATGCAAACAATTAGCTATATTGTACAGCTTCCAAAAGTTGCACTTGGGGTGGTTGTTGCTAGGGCAGAAATGGACCAGGAGAGACTGTGTCTTAGGCTGTACAAACCGTGCTCTTCGTGGGGACTTCATAGCCTCGTGGGGGACCAGTCCTGCTACAGAGAAGTCCAAGAGCCCAAAACCCAGGGGTGGATTCCAGAGGTGTCTAGGGAGCAAGGCTGTCAGCATAGTTTAGGGGAAATTGTCTTTTTCCAAGTGCAGTCTCACTCTGGTTCAATGGGCAACAGCGTGTGAAATGGTTAGAAAGTGAGAAAAAGAACACACACACCAACAAAACCGTTCCAAGTCTGGGGCCCATTTGCCTTCGCCCAAACTGGGGCTGCTGGCATTTCATTAGTCTTAGCCTTGGGGAGAGCCTGCTGAGGTTCAGGCACTGTATTCCATCTTTTCCTGGACTTGGGGCATGCTGGCTTTGACCTTGCAACAACCTATTCTTTAAAAATAATTATATATTTTTATTGATTTCAGAGAGGAAGGGAGAAAGAGAGATAGAAACATCAATGATGAAAGAGAATCATTGATCAGCTGCCTCCTGCATGTCCCCCATTGGGGATCGAGCCCGAACCCCAGGCATGTTCCCTGACTGGGAATAGAACCGTGACCTCCTGGTTCATAGTTGATGCTCAACCACTGAGCCACACCGGCTGGGTGAAACAACCTAACCTTACCTCCTAAAATTTCTTTGGTGACCGTAGAAAACAAAACAATGCAAAGTGACCCAGAAAACATTCAAACGACTTTTTATATAAAGGCTTCAAATAGTTTGGTACTTACTGGGGTCTCTGTGGAAACCCTAGAATTGTGCCACACCAGGGCCAGCAATTACTGCGTTAGGGCTCTGCAACCTCTGACATGGAAAATCCGAGGCTAAAACACTTGGCTCTAAGTTCCCACATGGCGGTCTGCTGGCTGCCGGACCCTGAAGGAATCCGGGAGGAGATGGAAGTCTGAATCCTGGACGCCAGTCTCTGCTCCAGCTGTGGTTCCAGCTGTAGCCACCACCACGGCAGGTATTCATGGACTGCCTTTAGGTCCGTGCTGTGTCCTGGGGCTCTTGCTTTCAAGGAGACTTGAATTTAAAAGGGGAGACAGAACAAATAGCTCCAAAAAGCATATTTACCCAGTTCCAGGGACGCTGGCAGAAGGGGGGTTGGGCTTGTTCTCTAACACCCATTCTGCCTGTAATGGACTGAACTGTGTTTCCCCCCCAATGCCTATGTTGCAGCCCTGCTCCCCAGCACCTCAGAATGGACTGTCTTTGGAGGTAGGGCCCCTTTAAAGAGATGATGATGTTAAGATGAAGCCATGAGGGTGTGTCCTAAGGCAGTAGGACTGGTGCCTTGTAAGCAGAGGAGATTAGGACACACAGAGACACTTCAAGGATTTGCAGGCGGAGAGGAAAGGCCATGTGAGGACACAGCATGACGGCCATCTGTAAGTCAAGGAGCGAGGCCTCAGAGGACAACAACCCCGACAGCACCTTGATCTTGGACGCCCAGCCTCCAGAACTATGAGGAAATACATTTCTGTCGCTTAAGCCACCCAGTCTGAGTTAGGTTCTTAAAGCAGCCCTAGCAAACTGATATACCGCCCATGCACTTTAGTGACAGGAAGCCCACTTTCCGTAGGCCTGGAATAAAGACTCCACTTCAGCCTCTCCTGCAACGAGGTGTGGCCATGTGATTAGGTTCCCGTCGACTGGGACGTAATCACAGGTCTCTCTGCAGCTTCCGGGATGTATTCTAAAGGGCGGAGGTGTGTCTGTCATCGCTCCTGCCCAGTTCCTGCGGGTGGCGTGGGGGCATTTCAGTCGGAGGGTGGACAGCCATCCTGGACCAGGAAGTGGAGAAACAATGTTTACAAGGATCTGGGCCTGACACCCAGCCAGAGCCCTTGTGCCCTGGGCTGCCGACACCGCCTCCACGAGCATTCTGTTCACTCAGCCACAGTCATTTTGGGTTTTGGTTGCTCACAATGGAACCTGACCCGGGCTGATCCAGGCTCCTGTTTATGAGGAATCGAGGGAGAAACAGCCTTCCTATCTTAGCACTAGAAAAAGTCATGCTTCTTTGGAGAAACTTTGAAATAAATCTGAGAAGTACCGTGAATCAGGTAAAGGACACTATTTTCTCCTTTGCTTTGCAGTGGGGATTTCACAGCCAAATCTGTAACCCACACCCGGCAGTCACAGCAGTGGAATCCATGC